ACAAACAAACTAATTCACCCACATACACACACACACACACACACCACAAAAAACCCGGAGGGGGGTGGGGTGGGGAAGAAGATATAACAACTATACTTCCATGAAGTTGTTACAAGAAGCAAACGGAAAGGACATTCTTGGGGGGGAGGGGAGAGAGGGAGGAGGGAGGGAGGTGTCGGTGACGGGCCATAATAATCATATACAGTGTATATTGAAAAAAAAAAAAAAAAAAAATTAAAAAAAAAAAAAAAAAGAGAACAGTTGCAGAGTGAGGAGCTTGAAACCCTAACACACAAAAACCAGGTTAAGAAACAATGTCTACTTTGGAGAAGAGTTGAGGTGATAAAATAGCTATTTTCAAATATTTTAAGGGTGTCATATAAAAAGGTAGGTAGATTCATAATGTATTATATCAGAGGTCAAAACTAGGAACAATAAATACATTGCAGGTATAGAGATTAAACATTAATAAGGGTGTTTTGATTATGTAACTGCCAAGGCTTATTCCAATTCCAAGATTTTATGATCTATACCATAAAATAAGGCAAGTAGAGTTATACATTTAAGGAAGAACTCTTGTCACTTTAAAGATGAACAAAAAATATGATTTATTAGTTTGTTACTTTTCTTTCCATAAAAAGACAGTAATGATCAAATCTGCGATATATACAGTGGACTTAGTAAATCAATATCTCAAATTAATCACTGTAATAATCCCATGCTAAATACTGAGATTCTCCCTCCAAAATCAATTGGCATTAATTTTAGTCTTTTTTAAAAAATGAAACAAAATGCCCTGTAAACATTTTAAAATCATAACAGCTACATTTTCAGATATATTTGCCTAATTTATTTCAAGTTCAGATCAACATTTGAATTTAAATTACAACTTAAGGTAAATAATTTCTAATTTACCTTAAGTTCTACAGAGAATTAACAACTTAAATATTTAGTATCAGAATGGGAAAACCCATAAAATCATTATGCACAACAGAAAACTGTGATCAGAAAAGCAAAGCATGCATTTTATACTAACCAATAAGAAGAACTGTTCCAACGGCTAAACCTCCACCTGGAAATGAAACAAAACCAAGAAGAAAATTAATCTATCTTTTGTATTATCTTTAGCATAAAAGTTAGGCTCATCAAGGACAGGCACTTCAATAACTTTAAAATTACAGTTGCGAACAACATTTTAATTACCTTTTGCTTAAGGTACTATTATGAAATAATTACATATTATATGTAATTACACATGACACATTACAATTACTTTCATAATATACTGTACTATCCTCCTTTCTCCTGTGATAGAACCATGCAGCATTCAACATAACTGTGGTTATGCACTCCAATGTTATATTTAGTTCTTGTTAATACATTAACTCAATAGCCAAGACCTAAATGTGCACAGTAACTTAACTACCTCAGAAGTACAACATAGAAAGGTTATTATGGTAGATATTCCTCTTTAATATTTATCCTCAAATTTAGTAAGCCTTGGAAAAAAGAACTGATAATTAAAGCTAATTCTTTTTTACTATGAACAATATACACAATGCCTGGACATGCTCTAAATAGATTTAGAATTTAAAATTAACAATATTTTTGCCATTTCAAACAAAAAGGACATAATCATAAAACACATTTTCTATAATATTAGAAAGTGTTCTTTTAAATATCTGAATTAGGGTAAAGTGATCATGAATATAACTAATTAGGTAAATCACTACAAATCAACTTAAAATCAAGTTTTAAGAAACTAGAACTACACCAAAAAGACAAGACATTCGACTCCTGACACTTTGTTCTTCACATTTGTAAAAGTATTACTATTCATGAGCAATGTCTCAAACACTAACATTCACTTAAAAATAAAAAACGTACATATCAAAGAATGACTAGAAGTGTATTTAAAGTATAATTAATTAAAACAAACTATTCAAAATTGCTGAAAAACTGGACAATGTTACTAGTTTTTTTGCTTAGTTTTTGTTTTTGTGCACAAAACTGTGAAAGAAACATTTTGAACATCAATAAAGAACTTTCCCTCAATAAATTTTGCAATGGCAGACATCATGTAGAAAAAATTGGTATAAAAAGTTCCTTTGATAGTGTTTTTGCCTTGCAAATAACAATAAATAACTGTTAAAAAATTAACAGTTATGTTTCAAACAATTTGAAATCTGGTAACATACATGTACCCTGAATAAAATGCAACATGTGGCTTATGCTAACTGACTTATGGCGAGACTTGAAATCAATTTTATGATAATATTTAGAACACTTCAAATTGTTAGAGAAAGAAATAATTTTAAAAAACTACTACATTCACATATTTTCATTTTAGTGGATTTATTATAGGACTAAATGTATATTTTAATTTCACATATAGATAAGTTTCTTCATTATAGTATTTAAAACCATAGCAGACTAAATAGGATAACTTCAATTATTGTTCAGACAAAAAGGTTAACATATACTGAAATGTATATGATAACAGCAATCATAAAGATCAGAGCAAAAGTGTTTGCTTTGCGACAAGATTAGACTAAATGTGCCACATATGGACCACTACTAACTTTTTAATCAATTTTGAACATTTTATATTGCACTTTCCAATATCTTACTTCCCTACTTTCCCTTACCTGCAAAAAAGAACAGTTAATTACCTAATAGCCATTTTGTGTATATTTAAGTAGATGAAACAATATAAGCACACAACAGACATTGCAGTGTCTAGGCTAAAGCAGATGCTATGAATGTACTTCAAAAAGTTCATGGAAAAATAGAATTAAAAGGTAATACAAATCTATGAACTTTTTGAAAACCCCTTGTATAAAAAAGATGTCTTTCTTAATTTGATGTATTTCCTATAGGGAGGATTTGGGTCTCTTATCTAAACACCCCTAGTTTACACTGTGGGCATTTATGTCCCCTCAAATTAGGAATTTATATAAGGTCTCCACTGGAATAGTTAGAGAAGTAAAGATATTTTAACATTCACAGTAGGACAATGAGAACAGATCAAGAAAGCTCCGTAATTAAAGGAAGTGAAACCTAACAGAGGTGTTTGGCCTGGATAGGTCAGTAAGAGCTACCCTTATCATTCCAGCAATTCGTTCTTTTCTTTTCTTGGCTGCTGGTCAGTACAGGATCTGAACCCTTGCCCTTGGTGTTACAACACCAAGCTCCAAACAACTGAGCAAATCGGAAGCCTGATTATTTTCTGATTACAATAAAGCACTGAAAAGTTTATTGTTATTTATAGTGATCACTGTAACAGTAATAGTAAGACTTATTTACCATTGATGGAGTATTTACACAAAGCATTAGACAAACCAGACTAAGCTAAGACAGTTTTCTGTACAAATGATCCAAACAACTCTCTGTTCCTGTCAATTCAAGAAACACTAACCAAATTTTAAAAATCTCATATGCATTAAAATTCTAATGTTTAGAAAATCTGAACATCATTTAAACAACATAAAATAGGGACCTATTAAATAACTTTTACCAGCCAAATTAGTATTTTATCAGGACTTCTACAAAAAGGCAAAGTTTTCTTTTTTTTTCCTAATGAGCTCTATCACATAAATTCACTAGATTCACATTAAGATTGTCTCTAGTAAAGGTTGGTCCTTTTGAAGGTTGGTCATGGGAAATAAGATGTAACTTACCTTATTAATTAATTTAAACTTATTACTAATTTAAAGTTTTTTAACAGGCTTTTGTTCCATGTATCTGAAGTGAAATGATTTGACATACACATATATGCACACACATATAGCAGCAAAGCTCCCCTACCAAACTTGTTTTTAGGAAGACAAGACTTTACAACATTTCTGCAAAATGCTTTTGCATGAGGTATTTTGATATACTTCACTTGATATATTAAGGTTTTAACTTTATTTTAAACTAAAGTTCAAATAAGTTTGTAGTCATGCTCCCACCAAAAATAAAAAGCTGCCAACCAACCACCACAGGATTATTCTGATACATTTCTTGGAAGCTAGCTTTTAATATACACTTGCAAATTCAGTAATCCATTAGTAATTTTATATAATTTCAAAAGCAACACATACTTCCCACTAACAGTTTCTAATTAAAATAGAAATATCTTTTCCCAATAGTCCACTAAAATGTTTCACAGATAAATAGTGGGGCAAGGAGGCAATCATATTATTTGTGATGATTTGGTCTTGTTTACCACCTCCTCTTCCCTTTCACCCTAACTTAGAAAAAGCATCAACACACTTTCTAAGTCACCAAGCAAATAAACTAACTCTTGCTTTTACTTCTAGACGTTTTAAAAAATATTGTTGTTTATTTCCAGCTTACTAAAAATACAAATAAGAGTATTTTATCTAGACAGAAGAATACATGAGTTTGAAAGGTTGAAGATACTTCAAGTTTGATATTTTAAAGTACTAATTTTATCAAGATTTTGTCTTTTAAAAAGACACCTATCATTTTATCTTAAATCCAGAAAAAAAACACATAAAATTTAAGATCTTGTAATTAAGTGTCAAGATCTTCCTATCTTATGATTTCTAAAATGTGAAGGAAAGGCTTTTTGTTGTTGTTTTAATTCATGTGGGTAGTAGTTTAGACAATGGTATCAGTATTATTTTATTTTTTTGGTGATCGGCTGGTATGAGGATCTGCACCCTTGACCTTGGTGTTATCAGCACCAGGTTCTAACTAAGTGAGTTAACCAGCCCCGTACTATTTTAAAGGGGGAAAATTCAATACCCACAAACTCCCCCCAAAATAATATCTAACTAAGCTATACATTTTGGGTAAATGAGGTCAAATTAATTTACTATAATATGAGGATCCAAAAGTGATACCATAGTTTTCAAGGGCATCTCCCTTTTTCAATGTTAAGAGAAAGTAAAAGAAAAGAAATAAAAGACAGGAAAGACAACAGTGTTCTATACCAGTCCTTTCCAGAGCTCTGTAAAAAGGAACAATTTTGCTTAAAATTATAGAAAGGAATTTTAAGGAAAATGCAATGTAAAAAACAAGTTCATATTTTCCTTGGTTCATACCAACCTTCTTAACTATGTAATTAATGCCATATCACAAGTCTACTTTTTCTTCCTTCTTTAAGAGTTATGAACCATCCTGACAACTCTTGATTACACAACTATTGGCTGGCCAAGCATGGGAATCAAAATAGAGCTACGAACAGAGATAATGGTTCTGTAGATTAAATCACATGAAACAATTTTACATAGCAATACAAAGGAATAAGCTACACTTTCCTTAAACATACAGCTATCTATATCAGTTGTTAAAATAACATAACCAGGGTTATGTTAAATATATAGTCCAAACTCACTGTACATTATCCCACACTACAGATTAAGATATAGTACAGCAAAGGAAACAATAAGCCCACCAGTATTTACTTTTCGACCTACGTGTTGTAAATGGCAGCTACCATCAAGCTTCTTTCAGAATATTCTTCCTGGACTACTACTTAACCCAAATCCCTATCTGTCATTCCCTTCACTGTCAAAATTTAATAATTTCTGAACAGAACAGTGGTTAAGCTAGTCAAACCTGTGAAGTCAGCTTTCCTTCACGTAGTTTTTTGGAGGGTGAGGCTAGGGGATAATTCTTCCAAGTTAAACATACAGTCCTACAATGATCTGTACTTTATGTCCTGGGGGGGAAAATTCTGCCAGAACCTTTACCTGCTATTATCTTTCTTTGGAAATTCCTGGAAGAAGAGAAATGGAATATTTATCTAACCAAGTCCCCTTCCTTTTCCAAAATATAAGCGTGTTATTTACATATAGTGTCCTCAAATAACAGCATAAGTGTCCTGGAAGAGCAGAATTGAGAACCTGGGTTAGGAAATCTAGGAACTTGAAAAATTTAAATATAGCCGACTTAGGAAATGTGTATCAAAATCTAACAATAGAACTAAGTTGTCAAAACAAAAATATTTAACATAATAAGATCATGTTTAAAAGATACAGACAGTGGGAACTTTCTAATTTATAAAACACTTTGGAGTAAGCAGTAGAAATATCAGCATATCATCAAATGGCTAACATTCAATTAGCCTGTATGATATCTTTCAAATATATTTTGCATTTATGCTTAGAATTACAATGATGTCAAGGTGGCTGCAGTAAAATGTTACTGCACTACACGGTAGTTATAATAGAACATTTACTTGTTACACAGTAACCGCATAATATATGAGTATTCAGGCAATAATCACAATGTCATAGTATAGTCTCATCATTCTGATATGATAACATCCTACTATCATTACATTTTGTCACAATATGGCCATATTAGGCTTGTCACAATCTGAGATAAATAACATTAGAGTAACAATATCCTCTGCACTGCTTATACTTATGTGTATACACATTCGCAGCCAAATTTTTCACATTCAAATGTTTTAATGAAAAGCAAATGCAAAGCATTTTGTCCACAGGACCATACAAAGCAGAAAATCAAAATACAAAAATATCATTAAGAAGTTAACAAAATGCTTCTGGACATAGTTATTATTCCAACTGAATGTAGTAACTCCTATTATAACAACTTCTTAAACTTCTGTACACTTTGAGAATTAACTGCATACATGCAAAATATATTTCAAAATATTCAACAACTGATACTGTTTCAATCATCTTAATGAACATTAATTTTTAGCATAAACTTGTTACAGTCAAATACTACTAGAGTCCCTCACTCCCAAGTAAATTTGGAAAATTTTAAAATTACTGTTCAAGTTTATATCTCTGAAGAAACACATGTGGAAGGTGCTTTGGGTTCTCTTTATGGTGGATGCTTTAAGAGACTAGAGTTAAACCATTAATTTTGGGTTCAATAAGTGGTCCAAATCCACTGAAAAGAGTTCTCAAAAATGTGAGATGGCTGTAGCATAGTTCAGAGAGCACTTACATTCGGAGCCTGTCAGCCCACATGGTCACTAGTTTTATGACTCTGTTCATGTCACTTAATTTCTGAGTCTCTTTTTAAAACTCAAATACATAACTCTGTCCTACATGTTTCATTATCGCTTGTCTAGGTTTTCTTCCTGTACATTATTCTTCTTTCAATCAAGAACTAAGTGCCAGGAACTGTGCTAGACACATTTTGTTATTCTAATGAGCATCTGAAGACATAATGCCAGAAATGTGACCTTTTTGTTTGGAGAATTTTAGTATGAAGTGAATGAAGTTACATATTTTCATTGAATTAAAAAACATTGAATGTAAGAACTAGGAATAACTTCCAAGCTTTAAGTTAAAAAAAATAGGAGGATACCAAGCGAGGCTCACAAGAGAAAAATGGTGAAATATTTGCTAACTAGATATTTTGAAAAATTTCTGTTTATAGTACCATCATCTCAATAGGACAATAGATTTGAGACAAGAAATCAAGAAGCCTTTCCCATAGGTTGCTTGTCTTGTTACTTTTCACTGCACTAAGCCTATTTGAAAAGGCTAACTTGGGGGAAAAAATTAGAGAAAATGTCAAGTAAAGTATAAGAACAAGCAAAGGGCAGTGTGAAATTTTATGAAATTGTACAAGATTTAACAGATACATATCAATCACACACTATGAAAAAAGTTATGAAATGTAAACACAGACCAGTTTTAATGAAGCAGCGTTCACATAGAAATGAACTAATCTACAAGCTTGATTAACACAGCAGATTTTACCAATCTAATCTCGTCAATCTTTTCAACATAACAGTTTCAAGCATATTCTTCAGAAGTTCCAGATATTATAAAGCAAAGCCTAACAACTGGACTTTTCTTTTTTTTTTAATGTGACTTAAATTTAAACGTGTCGTTTGGAATGTAGCAGCAATTTTCCGGGAAGCAAAATGTATATAGAAAAAAATTAACAAAAATATATACACAGGGCCGGCCTGTGGCTCACTCGGGAGAGTGCGGTGCTGATAACGCCAAGACCCGGGTTCGGATCCCATATAGGGATGGCCGGTTTGCTCACTGGCTGAGCGTGGTGCTGACAACACCAAGTCAAGGGTTAAGATCCCCTTACCGGTCATCTTTTCAAAAAAAAAATATACACACACACACACACACACACACACACACACACACACACACACACACACACACACTTGTATTTAACGCAGACATAGGTATGACTACCTAAATATCAACGACAAGCTTTAACTACTTTGAGTCAATATAATCCTTTAACATCCACACTCTTAAAGCCAATATGATTTGTTTTAAAATTTAGAACCAGGAGATAAGCAGCCTGGCGGTGAAAAAGGGAAAACTACTTTTTTCCCCAGCACTTTCTAATGAAGCCTGTCTCTCACAATGATAAAAACTTGTAGGTTAGTCCAAACCGTGAGCTACCTGGGGTTGGCAGAAGGGTGACTCATTGACCAGGAGGGGATTTTAGATGAAAGCCAAACCGTCTCCATACATGAATGCTTCCCTTTGACTAAGAAGCATTTCAGGGTAAAAGCATGTAGTGATCTCGTCGTAATCTGGACAGGGGCTGGTGGGCGGAGAACGAGAATAGATTTAGTAAACAGCACTTAGAAGTCTCCATGCAAACCTTCCTCCCTTCCATCTCTATCGGACCAGGATATCCTCTCCACGTCTGAAGGCTGAGTGGTCAGAGAGAGATGTGAGATCAAGGTGGCTCCCCCGACAGGTCCCCTGCCTAAGTTTTCCCTTGGTGGAGCCCAGATCTCCATTCTGAACCGACCTAAGAGCTGGTCCAGGGCTGGGAGCCCGGTTGATACTAGTAGCTGTCCATTCCGCACCGACGGTCGCGTGCCCGCAATGGACACCAGTCGAGGGCCGCCGCTGTCGGTACCGCTGGCTCTAGTACCCCTCCTCTGGAAACTGGTCACGTTGCTCTTGCCGGCTGCAGCCACCATAGACCCACTACTCTCGGCGCCCATGCCACCGGTTGCCACTGCCGCCATCTTGCAGCCTTCGTGTTGACCCAATAGGAACTCTGGGAACTCAAGCACCCGGCCTGTCAGAGCCAGTCCCAAACTCCCGCCTCCTCGCCACTATCGCGATCTCATAACCAATAGGACTGAAGCTTCCCTCCCGAATCAACCAATCGCAAGGCGTATTGCTAAAACGTGCTCTGTACGTAAGGACCGCGGACTGCCTTGGGGCCCAGGTGAAAAAGGCCTACCTCTCCTGGGTGAGGGTCTTCAGGAGTTCTTTGGGGCTAGAGGTGGGTAATATCATTAGACATTCTCGTTTTCAGTGCCATCATTCAGGCTGAGTTAAAGAAAAGGTTGGTGAGGCGATAATCTCTCAGGGAGCTGGCATCTCTTCCTGCTCGACTGTAAAGAGGAGAGTACTTCTTTCTCCCTGCCTCTTTCTCTTCTGGTTTCTGAGAGAGAATTCACTCCACCTTACCCATGAGGTCTTTTTCTGCATGGCTGTGTTATGTCGAAAGGATTGGAACCTTTACCTGAATGAGTTGCTTGGAGCTTCGTTAGTGCGTAGGGGTAGGTGGATTAGATTTAGACCTTAGAGTGAAAACTCTAACTTTGAAGCGACTTGGTTTTCCTCTGTCTTACAAAATGTACCTCTCTGACAAGTCCCCATGAGAAGCTTTTATTAATTTTAATTAGTGCTTCTGGAAGTTTTGAAACGCCTTACCATAAGCAGTGTGAATGACAACTGTTACACTGACAACCTTGTTCACACATTTAATTATCGTTTGCTGTTAAAGCAGCTGCAAATAAGAGAAACTACTTTAGGTTTCTTTCCCCCAAAAAACTAAGAAGAAGAATTAGATATGTACGTACTTTATTTTTTCTAGTGATTTGTGAACTCTGAATCTTGAGCTTTCCTATTGTATGAATTTTATGTGCAGAAAAAACATGTACTTTAGAGCTGTGTTTTTGGATTTAAAATTTTTCTCAAAACTGTGGTGGGGGGTGGGTGAGTAAGTGATTTTTAAAGGCATTCATGATTGACGAATGTCTAAACTAAAGAGGACTCCCAAATCCTGCCTACACTACTAAGTTATTATTGACATTGACAGTAGTCTGTAATACTTTTTAAATACATCCGAACCTCGTTGAAATTCTTGCCATTGAATTGTTTTCGTTCTCAATGACCTGTTCAGACTTTTTGGCTTATTCTATTTGATAAATTGAAATTAGTATTGCTAAATAGTGACTGGAGTTTTTCATTTTGGGAGTTTTTTGTTTTTGTTTTTCAAGAACCATGTTCCAGAAAAAAACAACAAACAAAAATGACCTTGTTATTTAACAATATATCAACAAAGTTTTGGTCAAGATTGCTTTCATTTAGAATTTTTTCCAGTACAAACTTTTAATCTAAATCACTCAGTAAATAGCTGTTGAGTGATTACTGTGAGCTTAGACCTAATCTTGTCATTTTAGACCTGTAGTAATAAAAATGGTTTCATCTGGGAGAGATAAGATTAACACAGACAGAACAAAATAGCACTTAAAATGAACACATGAAATAGTACGTGTTAATTTTGTCCTGTAGTAAATAAGCACTGGGGAGATCAAAACAAAAAGTGAAAAAGCCGTCCAATATCAAGTAGAAACTTTCTGAATATTTTTGAAGCTCTGTAAACTTTGAAATACTATAGATAATTTTTTGTAGGCTTCTTTACTACATAATCTCTTGTTTCCTACTGTATTTACTGAATGCTTTAGTTTTCTTAAGGTGATGGTATAGTGATGCTTTGTTTGCCTCATTATTAGAAATGAATAATTTTTTTCCAGCTTGGATTATAATGTGCGGAGCATGATATATATACATACATGAAGGCATTCATAAAATTAGGATATATCCCTGGTATAACATAATCATAGAATAAATTAAATTATAACAATCATAGAATAAATTAAATTAATCTGTCTCACTTTTTTCTTTTTTACAAAGACAAAACCTTTGCTTCCAAATACTTGAATTTGCCAGCATGTAGTAGAGTTGAATATAAAACACATAAAAACAAATGAAGTGGAACAAATAAAGTGTTTGTGGAAGGGAGGAGTTAAAAGGATATATTTTTAGGTGTGCCTTTAATTAATTAAATAATTATTTATTGAGTACATACTAAATCTCAGGGAGTGTGCTAAGAGCTTCGGTTACAGTAGAAAAAATACTTAGTCTTTGCCCTCCTTGAGTTCACAGTTGGGGGAGATGGGTGGGTAAATAAGCTAATCGGATGTACTATAGGTGCTATAGAGAACAAATGAGGGCTACCTAACTCAGACTGAGAGAGAGGAACCTTGGAAAGCTTCCCTTGAGGAGGAAGCTGAGTCCGAGTTTTGAAGAAATGTGTAGAGGATATGCACTAAAGAGAATAAATGCCATACTGAGAATGGAAGGACTGCTCTTTCAAAAAATCTGATTCATGCTTCTGTGCAAGGAGTTCTCAAGATTTATAGAGTGCTAAGAGAAGAGAAGACTGGAGAAGTTAGGCACAGGTCTGATTTACTGTTTTAAGGTTGTGGAATTTTTTTCCTCAAGGATAATGGGAAATGAGACTCATTGAAAACTTTTAAGTAAAAGAATGACATAATGATGATTTTTGATCAATATAGAATGGCTAAACATATGCTAAAAGAGAATGGAGTGGCTGAAAGTGTAATTGAGTTAAAGAGCACAGAATGAATTAAGAAAGAGATTACCATACGGGGTAGAATTAATGTGACCAAGGAAGGTAGAGGAGAGGAGTCAAAGGTGACTAACAAGTTTCTGTCTGAAGCAGCTTTGTGGATGACTGAGGATACAGAATAAAGGAAAAATAGCAGAATTCTGCAGTTGTGATGTTGTTGGGGGTTTTGGGGGAATGGGAAATCATAAATTGAGGGTTTTTAAAATCTGTTTTCAATATGTTTAATTTGAGGTACCCCTGGAGCATCCCAGTGGAGATGTCCAGTACACAGTAGGCTATGTGTGAGAAAGATCTCTAGGTAAAAGATATAGACTTGAAATTTTTAAGCACATGGTGGCAGTTTATCCCAAGGGAATGGATAAACTCACCGAGGAAATATATACTTCGGAATGAGAAGAAAAAAGAACTGCAAATAAACTTTGGGGAACATCAAAATTTAAAAGCTGGGCAGAGGAATGGAAAGTAAAATAAGGATTGGAAAATGTTCATTTTATTTAATAATAATGGTTTATTTGTGACTTTGTTAGGGGCAGATTTTTGGACTAGTAAGTTTAAAAGTCACATAATTGTATTTAGAAGTGAATGGCAAGTGAAGTTTAACAGTCCATAAAAGTAGACTATTTTACGTTTTAGACAGCTTTGCTGAGAAGCCGGGCAGAGGGAGATGACAAAGCTTTAAAGGAGGGGTTATAGTGTTGGGGTGCGTGTGTGAGTGTGTGTATGTGTGTGTGTGTGTGAGAGAGAGAGAGAATAAAGGTACTGGAATGAGATTCTAGAGAACTGATAAAAGATGGGACTAAGTGGCCAAGTGGTTAAGGAGACGGATAGGTAAAGAAAAGGACCTGAATGAGGTAGAAGGAATGGAATCCAGAGCACAGGAGAGGGAGTATTTGAAAGGAGGAGGGACTATTCAATGGCTAAAGGGTGTAAATGAAAATAAGACTTTTTGCCTTCTTCCTGCTATTAAATCTTGGAGTCCCTTATGATCATTTTCTCTTTTCATTCCACATTCTTATTTTCATCCACCCCTCACCATTTTAATTACCATTTATATACCAATGACTGAAATATTTGCAGTCCACATCACTTTTCATACTTTTAGAATCATAAATCCAGATACTTTACCTGTCTCTTGAATGTGTAAGGGGAACCTCAAACTCATAATGCTCCAGACTAAACCTCCTTTGGTATTTCGTATCTCAGTAAATCATAGGGCCAATTGTTGAATCGTAGCCTACGCTAAGGAACCTCACTACACTCAGTGCTGCTCTCATGCCTTATTCTGCCATATCCAGTCCATTACTAAAACCTATGGAGTTTACTTCTTAATAGCTCTCTTATCCATTCTGGGGTGTTTAACCCTCATCTTTGGTTCTCTTGCAGTCCACTCCTGAGATTCAAGAGCCATCCTGATCTTTTCAAAATAGAAGTCTGATCATATAATATAAAAACAAAACTTTTTAAGGATCTGAACATAGTTCCCTCTATCTACCTCTCTAGCCACCTTGCTCTATAAATTCGTTTACTCTTGGATTCTAGCATTCATTCAGTCTCCTGTACTCACCATATTCCCTTCTTCCAAATGGCCTCTAGTGAACTTCTACGTATCCTTCAAATTTCACTTTAACCTACACATCTCAGTAAAGCCATTTCACTATGCTATCAAAGTTAAATCAGCTGTTACAAAAATCTCAGTCTGAGGGCCCCATAAGCAATATGTATATCACCCTTGTGGCCACATAGTACGTAGTGGGACCCTTTCCACAAGGATTCCAACCAGTTAGTATTCCCAGAAGTCTTCTTACATTTTAAGGCAAGCAACCTTCAACTGCAGGCAACCAATTTAAGGTACACCGGAAAACATACAATGGATGTGATAAGCAACTAGCACACTATGACACAAATGGACACCCCTTAGGTTGGTTTCTCAGTGGCTTCTCTAGCCCTAGAGTCCATATTACTATTGTGTCTATGCAGATAAAATGTATAACAGAGATATTGTGGAGGTTTACTACTGGGCCTGCTGGTATTCTGGCAGCATGATTGAAGGAATAAATGCCAAGGTCATGTCTGTACAGAGTGAGTTCCCGGACCTCAGGTAATCCCTTTTTGCTTCCTTCTTGTCACTATGCTCACAAAAGGAAACTGTAGTCCTGACTTCTAGCATCACAGATTTGTTTGGCCTGTTTTTCTACTTTATATGAATGAAGCTATACAGTATGTACTCTTGTGTGTGACTTCTTTCACTCAATGTTATGTTTATGAAATGATCCTTGTTAATGTTTATAGGTGTAGATGATTTATTCTTGTTGCTGTATACTATTGTATAAACATAATTCATTATCCATTCTACTGTTGAAAGGGATTTGGATAGTTTCCCATTTGTTACCGCTCTTGCAACATGATTTTACCAATTTATATTATTAACAGCACTGTTTGAGAATTTTAGTTGGTTTTCATTGTTATCAACATTTAATATTTTTTCTCTTTTCATTTTAGCTATTCTGAGAAGGTGTTGGTAATAGCATTGTTATTTGGATTTGGACTATTATTTGGATTTG